ACGGGAATTCCAGGAAGAAAGGAAAATTTTCATTGCCATGAATACAAACACAGCAAGCTTCAAACTCATCAGTATGGTTGACCCAATTCAAGCAATTCAATTTCAAATAGATAGTAAAGGATCAGATATACATATTAGAAAGCTCACTTTAACAATACTGTGGATAATCAAGTTAGCCAAAATATAAGCATCTTTAGAAATCTCGATGGAAATTGAATAAAGTCTTGAACCACGGCAGTAGCAGTGAGAATAGAAAGGGGTTTATTGGAAATACAACCCATAGGATAAGGTAGCTAAGGCTCTCAAATATTTTAAAAATTCTTTCTTTCTTTCTTTAGAACAGCAGGTACATTTTAAGAGGGGGGTCAGTCAAAAATGTAGGTGATGCTTTTTGAACCAACCAATATTTGAAAGCTAACAGTGGATGTGAAATCTGAGGACTATCAGAGTGAGATTAAGATGTAAGTGTAGGACCTCACTCCTCTTATGTTGCCTAAATTTCTACTTTTCTCTACATGTGTTGTAATTCAATATTTTACATCTTACCTGGAAACAAAATCTATGGACTGCAAGGGTGAAGAGGAAAAAGAATTTGCCAGATATTTAAGGAATGTATTTCTGTTTATTTCATACATTTACAAGTCTATTGCTATTTTATATACATTTTCAATTGTATTGGTAAAGTTGCTTTGTAATTCCCTAGAGATAAAATGAGCATTTTCTTCTACTTAGGGGTAAATGCTAAGTATTTATGATGATTGCAAAGTCGACCCAAGGAACACCTAAGGCCATCTTATGATAAAATTATAACTATAGAAAACCAGACTGCCAAACTGGAAATATCACAAGAAAAAAGAAATTCATAGTTTTTTGTAAAGCCAGCCTTTTAAATTCTCCAGTATTTCTGAAAACACAGCTATTGCCAGTGGAAAAAGTTTTAAGTAAGAAATCCACATTCCTCTAGGTCATTTAGCAATCTATGATTCATCTGTATTTCCTTAGGTATTAGGTCATAATAATTTCTCACAAACCTCAAAGCCTGAGTGCATTATAGATCTACTTCACCATAAAGGCACCAGCTAACCCTAATTTTCAAATAGCGATCTTAAGGATAAAATGGAACTTTTCTAATGTTCCCAATTATCTCCCCCAAATTAGGAATTATAGCTAAGGCTCCAGTTCAATCACTCTTAGAAAGAGTTTGATCTATTGTGCTTTAATCCATTTATGGGCAGTTTATCCAGAAAGAGGTAAAATGTAAATCATTGTTGTTAATAAGACAGTTGAGACAATTTCCTGTTTTAAATTCACCCTGCTGTTAACGACATCCCCTGGGTACCTTCTTGAAAATTTAATCAAAGTGCTTCACAAGCCATCTCTGCGAATAGGGTACCAGGTGAGCAACTTTGAAGGGAAAAGGAACACGGGCAGGCAAACGTGTTACAAAGCGACTCTCAAGCAAGTTGGTGGCAGGAATGTCTCATGCTGCCATCTTTATCAACTAGCACTTTTATTTCTCGCTTAAAGATGAAGGAATTGATGACTAGAGTGTAGAGGAATGGACACCATGCTTGCAAAGGACAATTACTGATTCTTATCACATTAAAAGGAAAAACTGAGAACAGGACAGTCTCCTGGCAAGCCTAGAGATGTTTTGTGACTTTGGGGCAATCCCCCAGGTCACTCAGTGTTCCGGAATGAGATAAGATCGGTCACTCACTAGTGAGCATGTGTTAAACATTGATGCTTAGTACTTCTTCATGGGGGTTGTGGGGAAAGAACAGGTGAGGAAATAGCATGTGGAAATCCTTATGCGTGCAGCCCTCATATGTAATTAACTCTGCACACCTGTTGTGTATGCCATTACCTTAACTTTCCACACCTGTTGTGTATAATAGCCATTGCAGAGGGGGCTCTGGGCTACCCTGCATTTAAGGTTAGCCCGTCTCCCGCAAGCTTGTACTTCTAATCTGTGTCAAGCCTGGTTCCTACCTCCGGTGACCGAGACCAGGGCTGTAGATGTCACAACACTAGAGAGCATGTATGAGTTAGAATGTTAAAAAAACAATATTTGTTCTCATATATCTGTGTTGTGAACAGCAACTTCTTTTGTTTCTGCCTCCCTGGAGAAATGTACTTTCTGATCGTTAACTTTTGGGGGATCTCAATAGCTTGATCATAACACCAACTAAGTCAGTATTTTAAAAAATGTGGTACACTAATGAGTGGCGCAAGTGTCACCAATGGATTCTCTTTAAAAATGTGAACTCATCTGTTGCATAATGGACTGAGTATATATCTGGGACACTGTGTTTAGTTATCTACATGTAGAAAAGTGCCCCGATATGGTGGATACACACTAAAATTTTGAAAACCACTATTCAAAGTGGAGGTAGGGAAATGAGGGAAGAGGAGGTAAATGAGTCTCTAGATTTCCTCCTCTCAGCACCTCGCTAGTGCTGCCCCGGACAGAGTAGTTGTCCCCACGCTCTAACTAACGCCTCCACAGATCCCAGATCCTTCTATAATAAATGTCACATGGGCTTACCTTGTCCACCTGAAGAAATGGTGCTATAAAATTTGTACTTGTGCTTTGTAGATTTTAGAATAACATAGGACTTTGCATGGAGATAAATCGAAAGCTTTTGAATATGTCAACAGTCAGCTAGGGAGATGCTTTCCCCACGTAGAACACAGACAAATCCGTGTAAGTCCATCACATTCTTTCTAAAAGAGAATTTAGGGCACATTCTCTACTACTTACTTGAGAATAAGTCTCCAAAGATTGATGGTGGTTTTATACATAGAGGAAGGAAAATTCATTTTCATTTCTCATATATTAGTTTTATTGAGAAAAAAAATAGCTCTTAAGTTTATACCAAGAAATGACCTGAGGGTACTGTCACAGCTCAAAGAGTTGACCTGAATGTAGAAAAGACCTAAGAACCAAAAATGCAGTGTACCTAATTTAACCCAAAGATCTCAGGCATCTGCCAATCAGTCTGGATGATGACCCCTGAATGATGGCCCTTTTTTTTTGCTTTCAATTTCAGCTGGCTTTCACTCATCTTAGTTTGAAGGTTTTTGTTTTTTTTATTTTTTTTTCTTTCTTCCTTTAGCAATTCTCTTGCCCTTTGCCTTTCATGTAGCTGGAATTACAGGTGCTTGGTAGAGATGGGGGTCTCACTCTGGCTCACTCTGGTTCATGCCGGCTTTATGCTGGTCTCAAACCTCTAGAGCTCAGGTGATCCACTGAACTTGGCCTCAAGTTGAGCCACCATGCCCAGCCAATGATGGCCCACTTTATCATAAGATAGAGTTCACTAAAAATGACCTGTTAAAATTTATTATGCTTTAGAGATATTACTCTGTTTTAGATACATGTTGGACCCCACAGGCGCTTTTATGGGATGAATATACATTGGACTACAAATTTGCGGCCACTCAAGGACTATTTCAGGCTACCAAAATGACATAGCAAATATGTGGTGAAGAGTAACTATGGTAGATTGAGATACTCAAAGACTATTTTGAAGAACAGAACTAATTTATTATCAGAAATTGTTTTTAGAAGGCATTCAATGACTGTGTCATGTTCTCTAAGTACATTTGGTTTCAAACATAGTTTTGTTTTTAACTAAGTAAGATAGAAGTTATTTTTAATAAATTATATGCACTACTACTTCTAATTGTGTCAAATTGTGGGTACCAGTATTATAGAAAGCTGTTATTACATATTATAAACTCAAAACCTCTGTTCCAGACATATTGGTTTCAAGATTAATTCTTTTTTTTTAATGTGGGATTTTTTTAATTATTAAATGATAGCTGTGTACATTAATCCAATCATGGGGTACAGTGCAGTGTTTTCATATACAATTTGAAATATTTTCATTAAACTGGTTAACATAGCCTTCATGTTATTTTCTTAGTTATTGTGTTAAGACATTTATATTCTACTTTTAGAAAGATTCACTTGTAGTCTTGTAAGATAAACCATAGAGGTGATCCCTTGAATCACCCTCCCTCCACCCATCTACTGCCCTCCCCTCGATTAATTCATTTTTAAAGTATAGTTTTCAAAAAATTGTATGCTCATTGAACATTTTTAATCCTGGGAGTTATCTATCATTTTTGCTTAAAAATCACAGTAAAGAGATTGCTGAGATCTTATAGAAACTTCTTATTTAATAGACTATTATTGGACATGAATCTATAAAAACAAGGATAGCAATAAAGACAACTACCTAAGAAAGTTGTCAGATCTAATTCTGTCTTATAAGATATGTTTATAAACTCCTTGTAATGAATGCTAAAAGCAAATTATTTAATGGAAAACTCTATGTCCACCTTAGATATTACAGGCCAGAGATATCTTTTGAATTCTAATCTATTCTTTTATGCAGGGGAGATATGAATTTCACAAAAAGTCGAACACTGATGCCATTTGCTATGTTTTATTTTGCTATTAGCTTATTAAACATAACATGCAAATAATCAAAAAGAAACACATACATGACTTAAAATGAAAAATACTTCTAAAAAAGGAAATTATACTAGGTAAGTACACAAATTCTTAATGCTAAAATACTTTAAATGAATGTGACTTTATAATTTTTGTCTAATATTTTGCAGAATTATTGGTTTCTAAATATATCACCTACTTCTTAACCAAAACAAATTTGAATATCAAGATAATTTGGCCCAAGACAGTAAACATCCATATGCATGTAATCCATGGTTTTGGACACATTAAGTTAAGATATGAGGATTATAAAATTTGGCTGATGTCCGTGCAATGAGCAGAAAGTTTTGCACATCATTTAACAAGAGAGATACAGAAAACACCAAATTTACAAATAAAAAATCAAGTTTGGTTCCTATTTGTGTGTATGTGTGTGTTCTTGTGATGAAATAGGCCTGCCTTTCATCTTTTCTTTCAGAAAAAGTGGTAAATGTTTACAAAACATTTTCCTTAAGAATTAAAAATTCATGGAAGTAATAAACAATAACAACAACAACAAAAGGATACAATGAGAACTTACACACAGAAAAGTAACCATAAACTTTTCCTCCAGGATACACCTCAATCTAACTGGGATTGGCAGAAGTTAATTAACAGTGATTTCATTTGCTACCCGTAGACATTCGTACATATCAGGAGGCAGGCTGCTTTCCGTCAGGCGGTTGCCGTCCAGACGCAAATGCTTGATCTTGGAGTAGGATAGTGGTCCCAGGATCTTACAGAAGCTCTTTACCTCAAACTCTGAAAATCGAAGAATAGAAAATTGTATTCATTTTTTCATATGCTAGGTTACAACAATAATCTTAAAAATTCTTCAAGTCTATGTTATCAAATAGAACAAACTCCTAGGCAAAACCAAATCATGACATGTGCACCAGCCAAGTTTTGTCCTTCTGGTTCCTTCTCAAACTCCAATTAATCATACCTTCAGGGCAGACCCAAACACCGTAATCTTTTACTTCAAGTTGCCCCCTTACCTCAGTAGTTTAATTCCAGGGATTTTTCTACGGTACCTACCTCGTTATGGAATAACGGAAAGAGGATGAGCATGGGTGGATGTTGGGATTCTACCTCTCCCACTTACCAGGTACGTGACCTTGGAGGACTTATCTGATTTCCCTGTTGGAGATAACAAACCCATCTCACTGTGCTGAATGAAGATTAAATTCATTAAGGAGCACAAAGCACTTCAGACAGTCCCAGTACAGGATGTCCTACATATTTACTGATGACCTTTACATTTTTTTTCTTTTCCAAATTACTCTACATTAAGAAGATCAGTGATTGGGCTAATGCTTCAAATTACAAATCTGATCAATGGAAAATTGTTTTGGTCTGTATATTCTTTAATATTAGAAAAATATTCAGGGACTCTATTCATGGTTAATAGAACATGGACAGTTAATATGCATGATTATTATCTGGCAAAATAACCTAACTCGTGGAGTATCTGACAATGTCAAAGGTACAGAAAGAAGCAAAGTAACCACTATTCAAATGACCACTGTGTTCTGGGCACTGTGGTCTCTCTCTAGCATGGAGATCCCATTGGCTTCGCTCCTAGAAGCCGCTCTTCCCATCTTCTACACCGGTTCTTCCTTCCTTTACTCATAACGTGTGGACTCCCAAAGGTCCCTGCATCTGTATCCTTCTTTCTTGTTTCAGAGAAAGAAGTAGCTGTGCCGCTGACCCTTACCCACCAATGCTAATGGATGTCTTCAGCCCTGAAACATCTCAGATTCCTTCAGCATTTCAGTCTGTCAGAGTGTCCTTCCTCCTAACCACACATGTTTAAAATGTGGGGTCACGTATTGCCACATAGTGAATTTTCCACTGGAAACAAACGTGGGAGTTTAACTGTCAGCTCAGCAGTTGTGTGACAGTCAAACAGCACCAACTGTTACCTTGGATGCTTTCCAGATATAGCAAAGAACATGTGGTACTTCAGAGCTGGCAATCAGGGCCTCCTTCATAACTACAACCCTACTAGGAGTTACATGAAACTATGGAAGAATAACAAAGAATGACATGAATAAGGTGTACTGTCATTTTTTTGGATAGCATCCTCTTTATTCAGGATGGCATGGAAACAATTTTTTAGCAGATAAAGATGTTTAATTTTAGTAGATTATTTTTCATATACAATTGCTGTATGGGTGAGGCGATGCTCCTCACATGGTTTTTACTTTAAACCTTTGTCCATCAATCATGGCTTTTCCCACCTGTTAGTGCAAGGTGGGAAATTGGTTCCCCCCGAATCTGTATTTCTTGAATTGAAAGTCTCCAAAGAGCAGATAAGTGCACAGTCTATGTGAATCAGGTCAAAAGCCACCCAGAACATAAATGAAAAAGTAACCGTGGCAGCAGAAGGAAGGAAGAAACCATGGAAACATCAGATGAGGAGAAAGGTTGTATATAAGAAAAAGGGCCCTGTCACAGATTTTTTTTTAGAGATAGAGTCTCACTTTGTCACCCTGAGTAGAGTGCTATGGCGTCACAGCTCACAGCAACCTCCAAATCCTGGGCTTAGGCGATTCTCTTGCCTCAGCCTCCCGAGTAGCTGGGACCACAGGCACCTACCACAATGCCTGGCTATTTTTTGTTGCAGTTTGGCCAGGGCTGGGTTTGAACCCACCACCCTTGGAATATGGGGCCTGTGCCCTACTCACTGAACAACAGGTGCCGCCCTGGTGATACATATTTTTTGTAAAGATGTTCCAAACCCTCCTTAATTTTTCTCATCATCCTCATCAGAATACCAAGAAGGCCACATACTCCCAAGTAGAGGTCACAGAAGTAGATGATGGTCATCAGAGTTCCAAGTAATCGTGTCAAGGAAGACCATAAGAATCTATGGGCATCTCTAGGGTTATGGAAGATGATTTGAGTGCCCCTGCCAACTGTATTCCTTCTGAACTTGATCATTCCTTCCTAAACTAGATCTTGTTAAAAAATAAATGTAAGACACAGAAAATCTATGTTATAAAGGGGGCAATGAATGCAAGATCAATATCAAGAAGGATAAATTAACACAGAATATTAAATTTAAAGGAATGAGATATTAATTTTTATGATCTTAATTATTCTTGACCTGGATACTCTAAAGAAAGACTAGATATTGGACACATAACTGAAATAGAATTCTTTTATGTTGGAAGTAGAGGGATACTTCGTTGGCATTTTTCTTTATTATTTTAATAGAGCCAGAGCAATATTGATTGGTGTTGCCCAGTTCAGGCATTTAAAGGTTGAGGACAAATAAACCAAAGTCAGGCACAATTGTTACTTACTTTCCAGTTCATTGACCTCCAGGTAATAGTTTTCAAGGTTCTCATTGACAGTCGGAATGCTTTTAAGTTTATTATAGGAGAGATCCAGCTCAACCAGGGAGGATACGTTAAAAGAATTTCCAGGGATTCCACCATCAGCCAGTTCATTGTGAGACAAACGCAGATACTGCAGCCCATTAAAGCGCTTGAAATACTCATCAGGGATGTTGTTAATCTTATTGTTGTCTAAGTAGAGAGTGAGAAGAGTCACTGGGAGGCCAGAAGGCAGCTTACTCATCTGATTGAAGCTCAAGTCGAGGTACTCCAGGGATTTAAGTCCTCTGAAAGCCGCAGAGATCGCATCCTCCCTTAGCAGATTGTGTTGAAGGTGGATGAAGGTCAGATTTACCAGGCCCTCAAAGGAGCCCAGCTTTGTGATCTTGTTGTTAGTGAGCTGCAGATCCTCCAGAGACTTAGGAAGGGGGCCCACAGACTCTGTCAGGTTGTTGTAGTTTATATGAAGCTTCTTCAGCTGTTTCAATTTCGAGAAAACCCTCCCTTTGATCTTGGAGTTTTCTAGGAGGTTGTGATCTAGGATGAGCCACTGCAGATCAGTGACATTCTCAAAGGCCTTGTCATCGATGTGGTCAATCTGGTTATTCCTCAGGTAAAGGTACTTGATTCCGGGGGGCACCATGGGCACGCTTTTCAGTTTCAGCTGGTCGCAGTACATGGCAGAGGGGTAGCTTTCTGGGCAGTTGCATTCAGGTGCACAGTTTGGCGATGACAGCCCGTAGATGGACAAGGGAAAATCATAATCATCATAGTATTGGCCACTGACACCCCAAATTAAAGCCAAGCAGAGAGCAAATGCACCTAGATTCATTTTTGGCAAATGGTTTGAACCCTAAATGAAGAAGAAACGTTTGTTACTATAAAATAGTAGACTTCCCCCCGCCACAAAAGAAGAAAATAAATTAAATTGGCAACACTAAAATGCATTAGTAAATGTGCATTTTGTTATTGGATAAAGATGTCTGTTTACATCTTTGGGGTGAACAGGATTCAGGTTAACTGCATACACATGCGCCCCCTGCTGGGAGAGCCGGGTCTAACTGTTTCACTCAATCTCTCAGCTCCTTCTTTGATTAAATGCTTTCCTGCAAGAGGTTTCTGAGTGGTGCTCGCTGACCACCCTACTAGACCACTGCTCAGAGCGTCCCTCAAAACCAGAAGAAATGAAAATGAGAAGACGGTTGTCAGCCGTACCCTCTACCCTGCCATTTGACATCATCAAGATACCTCATTAAGATCTTTACTGGGAACATGGGCTATCTGTGGTTTTGCCTGAAGGGAAGCTGTTCTTACCATGTGTGGGGGAGGAGCGGGGAACATATGTCTTTAAAAGTATCTAGTTATTGTTGGTTCCCAGGAAAGGGAATAGAATTCTTGGTGCTGGAGTTCGTGCATATTATTTCAAGATTTCTTTAACATTCCATTCTTTGAAGAACACTGCAAAACTGTGTTCTAACATTTAAATCTGTAACTAATATTTGTAACATTCAGTTACTAACTGTAACTGATTATTTAGTAAACTAGTTTTAGTAAAACTAGTCTGACTTAATCAGGGACATGTCACACACATTCTAAGAATTTTTAAATCTAGAAAGATATCCAACAGGTAGAGAAAGATATTCTTTCCAAGTTTTGAATCAGAGTAATCGTCTCTCTCAGTAAATCACAAGTTCCCTACTCTCCTCATGCAACATTTAAGGCGACAGTGTTTGTGTATCCAGATTTCAGTGGCCTCACAGAAAGCAGATGGGAGAGAGGTGAGAATAAAGAAAATGTCTATATTTAACACTAGCGTTAAGGAATCACCTAGGAAAAGATTCAGTTGAGAACGTAAACTAAAAATAGTTTGTAATAGTTATCTTTTCATATTAGCGTATTTCTACCATATGTCTAAGGGGAAGCTCAATAAAAGCCCATTTCACTTTTCTTGGGGGAAGTTCAGAGTTAGGGAAAGCAAAATTAGTATCCAAGAGTAAAGTGACTTTATGAGAGTGAAGAGTTTATGAAGATGAAGTTGATAGACCGAAAAGAGAAATGTGAAGAAGGATTCACATTCCTTTAGGTAACAGAGACTCTATTCTATCTTCCTATGAAAGTATGATTCAAGCTTTTGGATCAAGGTGGTTTGAGATAAGTAGAATCTTTGGGATTAGAAACTTAAAACATCTCTGCTTTAATTTGGGATTATAGGCGCTCTATCTCATCAGCTGAAATACTAAAAAAAAAGTTGTTATAGTTTGACTGCTGACATAATGTAACAGTAGGTAGCCAGATTCTTAGTAAATTATTCCCTGAGATTCTGACTAAGGCATTTCATTTAGTTGACAGAACTTGGCCACGACTATAATTTTATAGCCCGAGAAAGAGCATGATGACATGTTCCTAGGATGTTACTACTATAAAGATTTGTCTTTCTTCATTAATAAGCTATTTCAAATTGAGCATACACCAAAATCCTCCTGGTGACTATAATGTGAGTCTTGAGTAGGAATGAAAAAAATGCTTCCATATTTTTGGCAGAGTAAAACGGGGGATCTAGATTCAATGAAAGTTTATAACCATATAATGACTCCACTATGAGGCAAAAGTACACTGCACTTCCCCTCATTTCTTCAAATGCCTGTGGCACTAGAGAAAATGCTGTTTTCAAGATGTAAATCTTTTCCCAGAATTTCTCTAAAACATGTTTTTTAAGACACGCATCTAAAACCAAATCTTTAAAACTAACAGCATAAACACAAGTAATCTGGAAGTGTCCAAGTCCTTTAGTTCACTCTTATAGCAGCAGAGAACGTCCTTGCAAATTACAGCAAATTGTCACAACACATTTATTGTAAAATATATTGAATGCTGATTGAAATGACCTTTCTTCGCTCCAGTATTAAATTCCAGCAACACTCCCATATATTAACTAGTTAACGTAACTAGTAACAAACATCCTAATTTTCATACTTTTCCACCGCGTCGACTTCATTCTCACATTGAAACTTTTTATAACTTTCCTTGCCAAGCACTACAGCATACGTTGCATAGAATTTATCTCAAATCCATAAATCATGGAAAGCACATTAAACAGGATGTGAAAGTAAATGCTCAAAATTGAGGATTTGCTGTTGAATAGCAATTGGCAAAGTGGCTCTGGAATTTTCTCTGGTCCTATTACAACAAACGCTATCCCAAACAGCAGCCCCAGTGCAATAGTTAAAACAGCGCTTACCTTTCTGTCTTGACACTGCTTTTGCTAATTCTTAAAGCAGATGTACTATGGACAGGAATCCACCAATATATGCTGTAAACTCTGTCAAGAGGGAGCTGACTGCCAGATTCTTAGTGATACAAGAGCTGAAGGGGGGGTGTAGGGGGGAAGCCAGCCCAGTCACGCCAGTCTCTGAATGGAGTTATGTCATTGTGGGGATCTTGTGGTGTGGCATGCGGATACGCTGCTCTTTAACGAAGTGCAGGTGGACGTGGGGAACGGGACAGCCTAGCTCATTCCCTATGGAATGGGAGAGAGATGCATGTTTAACCAGCTCAAATACCGCAGCTTTTAACCCAGAATGGAGTCCAGCTCCAAACAAGGCTGCTCGCCGTGAGAACATTTCTCTTGCAAACCTCTTTATTTCTGGGGTGTGGCAACAATTAAGTGCAATTCGTTCAGCCAACTGTCATGTTCATCTAAAAGCCTCGTAAATTATATACAGAACAAATAATCGGAGGAAAATGCAAAGAAGCAGACTCAGAGGAATTGAATTCTTTCTGTCTCTCGGTCTTGGAATCTATGTTGATTTACTTGGACTAAGTTAATTTTTGGCCAGGAGAGTAACTTCCATTAGTTTCTGAAATACAAAAGCGCTCCATATAGACCTGATTACACGTGGAAAATGTCAACATTTTCAGTTTACTGCTATGCTAAGAGGACGCTTTTTATGTTATTCAGGTCTGGAACCAATCAGCAGTGGCTTGCCTGTTTCTTATTTTGTGAGTTTCATTTGGGAATTCTCCCAAAACCTTACTTGGAGATAGCATTCTATAGCTTAATGCCAAAAAACATAAAAGAGCAGAGAAAAAAACGTACCCTAAGAATATCATGAGGCAATCATATTTCATTCTCTCAGTGCATGTTGGTGATTTTTTTTTCTCAATATAAAAGTTATTCAAAGCTGTGATCTCCCATTGGCCTGGTTTGAAATATCTTTCATTGTCAGCCCCTGATGCATGCTTTCATCAAAGGGGAGATTTATTGGGGTCCTTGTCTATTTTATTTTGTGATTTTTATCAGATTGTATTACTGAGCTTTATTTTCTCCAAAAGGTTCATTTCTTCATGTTTGAAAGGACTCTTTCAAGCAGACACTTTAATGTTACATTGCCACATTGTCATCTTTTTCCCTTTTTAAGAGAACAATATCACCTTTTCGCAGTGAGACCTCTGCAAAGTTAATGCTAATGCTGCATTTGCCTGAGATGAAGACAGTTGGAATATTTTATTTCTGTAAAAGAAATCTTGAAAAATAGAAAGTAAGTAACCTTCTTGAGAATAATTCACAGAATTGTAAGATGATTCGTAAGCATCATATTTTTACTATTATTGTTTCAAGAAAGTAGAAAGACATCAGTTTTTAAATAAAGGAAGTAAATAACCTTAAAAAGAAACAAGATCATAAAAGACAAAATAGACCAGTCGAATGTAACTAAGTGGTTTGTTATATACAAATTGTCAAAACAAATGTAAGTATCGGTTTTGAGTGACTCAAGTTCTATAATCTGAGATCATGTTTGAAAAATTCCATCTATCGACTTGGCGCCTGTGGCTCAAGTTGGTAAGGCACCAGCCACATACACCTAAGGTGGTGGGTTTGAATCCAGCCCAGGCCCACCAAACAACAATGACGGCTGCAACCAAAAAATAGCCGGGTGTTGTGGAGGGCGCCTGTGGTCCCAGCTACTTGGGAGGCAGAGGCAGGAGACTCGCTTGAGCCCAGGAGTTGGAGGTTGCTGTGAGCTGTGATGCCATGGCACTCTACCCAGGGGGACAGCTTGAGGCTCTGTCTCAAAAAAAAAGAAGAAAGGAAAATTCCATCTATTGATTCCTTAAGATTTTCTTTATAAAGCAATAAATGTGTGGTGACATCTAAAACAAATTTTAAAGAATTAATTAGATTTAGCTCCTTGTGAAGTTGACATTGTCAACCTATACTTTTCAAATCAGTTCTATGAGACCAAGAATTGAATAGCTTGCACATTTCAAAATATATTTCCAGGGTCTATTAGAAAGAAATGAAATGACTGTTTATGGTGTTTCTAATATATTCCACACTTTATTCTCAAAATGTTCCCATTTCTTACTTTAAAGCTCATATTTTAAAACCTTAGACATTTATTTTCAGAAGTAGAAATGGAGACTCAGAAAACCTAAGTCACTTCTCAAGTAAATGTAGGGATAAAACCATGAACACCTTCATTTATTGGAAAGAGGATGGACAGGATGAAGCTAAGACAAGGTAGTTAATTCAATCAGCTTAAAATATTTTATAAACAATATTATTATCAAAATCAATAGTATTATGAATTGAGAAAAAACATCAATATTAACTAGGCTATATATTTCTTTTCTTTTTTTTTTTTTTTTGGCAGTTTTTGGCCTGGGGTGGGTTTGAACCTGCCACCTCCAGATATGGGGCCAGCGCCCTACTCCTTTGAGCCACAGGCGCCGCCCACCCTTGCTTTCTCTTATAATTTACAAAACAATATCACATACAATGGAATTTTATTCTTTCAATTGGGAAGAGTTCTGTCCACTTTGTTTATCTTAATGAACACATTTCAATAAAAACACTTCTTGATCAAGTGGTTTATACCTTCAAATAAGACAATAAAAAGTCTGATTCTTCTTCCGTCACCGCAATCTCATTCTCACTCTGAATTTAACATATTTTAGGAGCCATGAAGCAATCTTTCTTTCATCTCCGCAGTCCCTTATGCTCATATAGATGTATATTTTTATTGTTTTTTTTTGTTTTGTGGCCAGGGCTGGGTTTGAACCCACCACCTCCGGCATATAGGGCCAGTGCCCTACTCCTTTGAGCCACAGGTGCCACCCAAGGATGTACATTTTTAAACTCATTCTAAAATTGCCTTCATTTTTCTTGCTATCTTATGTGACAAATATATTTTTAGAATTATCAGTGATCTGGTTTGCTGTGTATTTTTATTATTACGTTTTCATTATAACATGTATGAATGGTACAATTTGCTAAAACATTAACCAGCATAGCAGGATATCAGGCTAAATATAAAATTATCCTTCCCTCAACTGTCTGTCCAGTCACACTCTCTAGAAGTAATTGCTGTTTAGATTTTCTTGAGCTATTTTGGACACGTCCTGTACATGCAATTGCATTTCATTTCCATTTTTATGGCAACCTATAAGATACCTCAAATAGCTCAGCACTAAAATACCTTCTTCACTTAGGCAAGTAGAGAATCATAAATTTGTGGTAGGGAGAAATGAAGCCTCGTTCCTTATGACAAAAATATATTATCAAGCAAATTATATGCAACATAGCTTGAGGAAAATTCCAAAAGTAAGTGAGATTTCTGAAAAAAAGAGTCCACTTGTTTGAAGATTGTGTAGCTACTGCCTAATTGCCTTCAAAATTTTGTCCAGATATCACTCCCATCAGTGGTCTATAAGAATTTCACCATTCCTTCCTGCAGTTTGAATATGATCAAGCAGAGGATCTCTGTGAGCTCTTGAATGTTTTATTTCAGGAGCTGTCATTATCCCTGCTTTACTCCTTAGTTGTAGGCTTCTAGGGCCTTTAGGGACCTGCCCGTGGGAAACTCCTTGATGTCATTCCCTTTCCTCCTTTCCCTTATGCTCTAGTCTGGTCTTTCTGGGGCTCAACCTGGCCCTCGGATAAGCCAAGTTGATCCTCTGTAAGGGCCTTAACCTGCTGTTCTCTCTGACTCAGAAGCTTTTCCCACAGATCAGCAGTTGTTGAACATTTTTGTTCACTGGATTCTTTATATTCTTTTTTAGGGGGGTGGAGGAGGAAAAGCTCGCTCCTGAACCCTTAACCAAGTCAGTTAATTGTTATATGATTGATTCTGTTTTAAAAAGATATATATTTTTAAATTTAATGTTCAGTTAAAATCACAGCTGTATACATTTATGGGGTACAGTGTGATGATTTGATATATAAAGCAGAATGCTTCAATTAAACTGATTAACATTGCGATCACCTCACTTACTTGTATTTTGTGGTAAGACATTTAAAATTTACTCTTAGTTATTTTGACATATAGCCTTTCATTGCACACGTTAGATGAGATCCCACCAAATGCCCTCGCACCTTCGGATTCTTTATATTCTTAAGAAATTATTGATATTTTGAGGATCCTAAAGATACATGTAGGGTCCATCTCTCAGTATTTGCCACATTCAGAATTAATACTGAGAAATGTTTTAAGTGTTTAAGTAATTCATTAAGATAATAATGGAACTATTTCATGTTAATCTGAATAACATTTTTAAATGAAAATGCCTACTTTAAAAATGCATAGTAATAGGAATGGAATGGCCTTATATGTTTTCCAATCTATTTAACGTGTTAATTAATAGAAATGAACTGGATTTTTATGCCTGATGCTTAGTTCAATATGTGATGATATGTTGCATTTGTTGATACATCCAAAGAAAATCTCATCACAAATAGGTATCAAATTGGAAAGAAGTATAGTAATAGCATTTTTTTTTTTTTTTGGCCAGGGCTGGGTTTGAACCCACCACCTCCGGCATATGGGGCCAGCGCCCTACTCCTTCAAGCCACAGGTGCCACCCAGAAATAGCATTCTTAGGTAATTTCAGCTGCCTTTCTTTAACAAAAAATTTAAACTCAGCACATATTGGTTTCATGACGATTAGTTTTAATGTGAAAGTGAAATCATATCCAGAAACATTTTCTAATGTGGGTTCCAAAATTCTGATATTTTCTTGTAAGTTCAAATTTTGTCAACTATTATCAATAATTTTCCTTGAGCTAAAAGACACACTTCACTTTGTTCCCTGAGAATATATTTACCAAATATCTAAAAAATCATAATGTGTATTCAGTTATACTTTTAATTAAATATGGTGTTCCATACAAAAAAAGGGGGTTACTTCAGCCAGAGTTGCCTCTAGATTTGTTCATTTCTAAGACAAAATACAATTCTGCAGCTATGAGGTTAGCTCAATCTTCAGGTTTTGAATAAATACTTCTTGTGATAAATTAACATGTCATTGCAAAGTGGTTCACTCTGATTTATTTCACAGACTTTTCATCCACTAAGCTCTCAGCAATGAGAGGTCCTCAGCTTTTGTGAGCACTTCTCAGACCATTCACTATGTTCCACATAGTAAACAATCTTTGGCTTTTAGAGTCCATCACATATACAGTTGAATATTTAGTTCATTTTTCCTTAAAATCTGGATAATTGGTCTCAAAATCATGCCACAACTCAATGTTACCTTAAATCTAT